CCCCGGCGAGCCAGGCGGCGCGATCTCCCCGCTGGCAGGCGGCAGGGCTGGGAAGGGGCTTAGCGGGGTGCAGGCCCGGGGAGCCCGCCCTGTTGGGGAGGCAGCGGGTAAAGCCGCGGCGGGGAGGGCAGGAGGGCTTCTTGCAGCGGTGTGTGCGGGTGAGGGGGCAGCAGGGGCACAGGGACCTGGACTCGGCGCCGCCGGTGGCACGGGGTGGTGGGCTCGGGAGGCCTGGCGTGCAGGGTGGGCTGCGCTGGAGCCCGGACGGCCTCCTGAGCTGCCCTGGACCCCCTCTACCTGAAAATGGGCAGGAGACCCTGGCAGAGTCAAACGCCTGATGACTCCTCGGGTGTGAAACCCAGCTCCCGCCCGGCAAGATCCCGCACGAGATGCGCTGGGCAAGCTGGGTTTCCGTGTGGAGCCCGGTGTCACTGTGGGGGAGTTCTCCCTATTGGCGTCAAAACCTTCAGAAAACTCCAGCGCGGTCTCCCTTCCCCATCCTCCCGGACCCGGTAGGAGCGCCCCCAGGAATGTCGCCGGCTGTTATTAACCAAGCCTTAAAGCGTGACTCCCAGTGTGTCCACACGCCCCGAGCCTGTAACAGACCTGACCCCTCGCTCATCCCAGGTGACATGGGACTGGAGATTTCCTCCTTGAGGTCTGCAAGAGCCTAAACTTGGCTGGAAGTTTTAAAATGAGGCTGATCCCTTTCCGTGTCACTATTTGCCAACTGCTATTTTGCCATCAAATTTGGAACTTGTGGAACCAGGTGTTCTGTGACTTTCAAAAAACATAGCCAATGTCAGACTTTCAGAAAACAGACAAAGTAACCAGACCCAGAAACAGCTGGAAGCAAGGCCTGGGCAAAGCAGTGGGAGCCCCCAAAGGGGTAGAGCCGGCCACAGGAAGCCTGCCCTCGCACTCTTCCTCGGTTCAGGCGTGGGCTCCCCGCAGTGTATTTTAGCCAAAATGGAATTGGGACCTAGGTACTTGCAGAGGCAGAGGGCCATGGGGCGTCTGGCCTGGCCTGGCCTGGCCTGTCCCTTGGGAAAGATGGCCAACTCTGAGGCATGAAGACCGTGTGTCCCCAAGGGCTAGGTGCAGAGGCAGGGGATTCCTCCTCAGCGGGTATTGGTGCCGGGGACTGCTCTTGTTGCAGGCACAGGTAGAGTTAATTGTTTGTGTAGACACTTTTAGCTCCAAGAAAATGCACTGTGAATGCACTTTTTAAAGGTCTTACTAGGGAAAATTTAAACGCACGAAGAACAGGGAGAACAGTCTTCCACACGTCCATGTACCTACTTGCCCAGCTTCAGCGATTCTGCCCCCGTTTCCCCATGGCTAATGCTCTGTTCCAAAAGTTATCACCATTCAGAGCCCAGGAGGCTGGACCCACAGCAGAAAACAGAGTGGTGAAGAAAGCGCTGCTTGGAAGAGGGTGGGGCGGGTGTGTCCAGCCCGAAGTGTCAGCGGAAGGCTTGAAAAGCAGGCCCAAGGCTCCTGGCCACAGCAAGCTCAGGGCCCAGGCCGGCAGAGGTGGGCACAGGGTGCTACAGAGCGAGGCTGGGCCAAGGAGGCTGCCTGGGAAGCGCCCTCAACCCCAGGCGAAGGCTGTGCCTGAGGTGGAGGAAGGCGGCCCCGGGGACAGCTCCTGGGATCCAGGCCTCCCACTGCCCAGGCTTTGCTGCCCACATGGCATTTGCTGCTGGCATGAGAACCAGCAAAGAGCAGTGGGCTCAGCTGGGGACTGTGTGTCGGAGGGAAAGGGATGAGAACTGCAGTAACCTGCCTGCTTGATAAGTGTGCACATCTCAGAGAATGGAGTAACAAGGCCCAGTGGGGAGTAGACCCACAAAGGAAACGGAGGGAGGTTCGGAGGCAGGCCAGGGGAGAGGACGTTGAGGAAGGTCCATAGAGTTACGAAAGGAGGTCGCAGAAAGCAGAGCTGAGGTGATGGGGACAAGATCACCTTCACCTGGGGCTGGGAAAGTAGCTGGATACACACACACACACACACACACACACACACACACACACACGGCAGGCCTGGTTTTCCAGAGATGGCGAAAGGCCTATTCTAACCAATAGTTGTTGCTCTTAGAAATAAAGTTCCCTCGCCCTCCTGCCTCATCTCTGGAATGAAGGGTCTGGTAAGTTGGGCGATGGCAAGTGTCCAGGAGGACGCTTGCCCTGGGTTCTCGGCCTCCCTCAGGAGTTGCCCAGGAGGCTGTTGTGGGCTACCTGGCAGCCTGCACTGGCTGGGTCTCCAGTCTGCTGGGACAGTGAATCAGAGACCAGGGGAGTCTCCAGGCAGAGGACTAGAGCTGGGCTCCGAGCCCACCAGTGCCAGAGGCCTCACCGAGGGTCAGGCGCTTCTTGCTTCTTGCAGCCCGCTGGGAGGCCACTGCAGAGTGGGGACTGAAGATAAATAAGCTCCTTCAGAGGGATGGGGAACCTCCTGAGACACCTTTTATTCTTCCGGCCCACATGGAAACAGGTCCTCCCTAAATATTCTTTAGGGCTGAATTGAGTAAAACAGACTCCATTTACGTTCGCAATTTTAGATCATTCATGTTGCAAAATGCTGAATCACAACCTGGGCGAGCCTTGGCAAAGAGCTGCTAAGTATCCTGTCCACAGTGAGGGATTCTGCTGACCTCCTGCACACCCACCCCCTGAAATTCTGTTTCCCTGTTGGTTGAGATTCGCTCGCCTTTCTTTCCTCCACTACGGATTCTCCCAGCCTGTAAATTTCTAAAACTTCTAGGTTCCAATACCTGAAGGGTTTAAAGAAACGGTTCTTTAACACTGTTAGGAATGCAGTGGCGAGTGGGGGAGTGTGAAGTGTGAAGGAGGGGTGGTGTTAGATCAGGGGCGGTCAGGGAAAGGAAAGAGGAACAGGTCATAAAACAGGCAGACTACTCCTAGGAGGACTGTGCATCCCGCTGTCATTTCTTAATCCGAACTTCTGCAAACTCTTAAAAAAAAAAAACACCCTGCCTTCCACGTTCCCAGCCTCTAAATTAGTGAAACCAGATTGTCCTAATAAGACCTTTTGTTGGAAACACATGTAGTCATAAAAAGGTAGACGGAAAGTCAATTAGACACGCGCGCGCACACGCACACACGCACAGGCCGGTGCTAAGTGTGCGCCTGGACGCAGCTGGGGCCCGGCCAGGGCGGATGCAAATACAGCACAGAGGCCCGGGAAATTGATTTGTCACAAAGGGAGAGGTGTAAACGCGGCGCAGAAGAATCCCTCGCCCAATCCCTCCGCCACACACCCGGGGGCCCACCTCCGCCAACTACTCCTCGCGAGATGAAGTCCTAGGGGAGCTTGAACATTCCCCAGGCGCACTGCAGTTGGAATTGCATCAGAATAACAATTTCCCCGGAGTCTCAGCGTTTACAGACTTCTGCGGTGCAAGAAGTTTTCTTATGGGGCACCGTCCTGGGACCTAGAGCCGGTGTGGCACTCTGAATTTGGGCCTCAATTATCTCCACTCAATGGGGAGTCAAGAAAATACATCGTCTTAAGGGTAGCCTGGGAAAAAAATTATAGAGGAGGTAGTGAAATCCAGGATCACGGGAAGGGAGGGTGACCCCAAAGTCCAAAGTCAAGTTCAGAGAAGAGGTGGTGAATCCTGTTTATCTTACACGCAGGGGCAGGGGCTGGATGGCCTCTGTCTGTTAAATTAATTTTGGGGAAACGGACAGTCTGGTGACTTGCACCGCTTTAGAGCCAAGCACCACTTGGAGTTTGCAGTGTCGGGAAGGTGGGGCACAAAGTCCGAGGCGCCAGGCTGCCGATGCTCCCTGCTCCAGATCGCCCAACCCAAAGAAACAGTCACGGCCTCCACGTTCATTTCTCCGCTGAGGCCCTTTCCAAGCCTCTGGAGCGCCTCTCCCGCAGTCCAGGCGCCCGAAGCTCGCCCCGCGGCTCGGCGACCCCAGCCTTCCGGGCGCGCTCAGGTCAGAGCGCGGTGGCGTCAGGCGGGCAGCAGTAGGTCACAAGGGTCCCTGCAGTTTCTTCATCTTCCCAGGGCCTCATTTTCGATTTTACAACCCGAGCGAATAAATCATCTCCAAACCAACAAGGTGCCACCCCCCACCCCACGACACCCCACTCCACGCGAAACGCCCCCCAGCAACTTCAGAAACATCTCTTCCTACCCCACTGGCTCCGAGTTCCTAACGCTGCTCCCGCCAGCAGCCACCTCCCGGATGCCTTTTCACATTTAAATGGCACCAGTGGGTTTCCAACCAGGAGGCCCTCCAAACTATTGGATTCATACTTTAAAAAGACATTGTTTCTTTACAAATTCCTCCCCCACTCCCTGCAGCAGGGAACCCCACCAAAAGCTGACACCCCAGCTCCCGGAAAATCTCCATCACAGAGGCCAGCGGGCGCCGCGGATACCGGGATGCTGCAAGTCTGCTCGGCGAGCGCGCGCGCACGAGGGTCCCTGCCTGCCTCCCGCTAGCACAGTTCGCAAAATACGTATTTCTTTTTTACCCTTTTGGAGAGAGGAGTCAGCAAAAACTTTAGGTGGTACAATTTTAAGAAAGGAAGGAGACAAGGCTTGCGTTCTGCTTTTTTCTTTTCTTTCTTTCTTTTTTTTTTGCAAGGAGTAGAAGAGTGTTTTGGGAAAGAATCTCCTCGGAAGAAAAAGTGAAACTGGGGGGCCAGCATCCTCCAAGTGATTCCTAAATCCACATAACAGGACCCTCGGAGTATTCCTCTGAGCCAGAGAGCAGGCATTCACAGGAACTATTTCATAAGGGGACAACTCCGTGCGGCCTTTTGGTATCCAAACGCTCACCTGAGCGCACACGCTGTCCCTGCAATCACTGGGCTCTCTGTCGAGAATTCTGCGCTTTACTTTGATGCAGGGGCCCGAATCCCACCGCGTAGATGTCCTTTAATCTCCCTTTTCAATAATACTAAGAGGATGCATTCGACAGCATTATTAGAATTTGGATTCTTGTAAAATCGAATCGCTCAGTGAGCAAGCTAACAACACCCAATTAAAAACCAACCGCCTCAAACAGCAAGAATCATATCCACAAAGTGCCACGGCCTCCTTTTCTCTACATAGGCTGTTTCTTATTAAACCAATCAATACAGAGACGCATTGAGGAGACATCTGAGGAGGGACAGTCATCGTGTTGGTGGGGGCGGGGGGCGGTCAGCGTTTGTTTTCCATGTGTAGAAGTCTTTGAGTAAGAAGTCTCCACAACGGTCTTAATCTTAGTGGATCCTTGGTGTCATTTGTCTAATCTTGGAAGGCAGCCCCGCGGAAGTAGTCTTACAGAGAATGGCAGGCTATCTATCGATTTTAGGTTTAAGACTTAAAAAATCACCACGACTCGCTTGTCCTGGAACCACTTTTCTTGATGAAAAAGATATCTGGGAAGCTGATTACAGGGACGATGGCCGCTCCATGGGGATGGGAGGGGAACAACACACAAAGGGTGGTCGGCTAAGGAAATTTTATGAAAGAAAAGAAAGAAAACATGTCAGAACAAATCAATCACACACACATGTGACTTCTCAGAAGAGTCTGAGGACACTCGGACTCTGAAGGATTCTGTTGTTCCTGAAGTTCTCACATATAGGACTCCTT